CATTCAAAAGAACAGCATTGTGATAAAGTTCTTAAAATTCAGAGATGCTATCTTTTTCTTCTTCCATTTACTTATTCTTGAAAAGGACATGAATCCAATTAGCAGATTTCTTTGACTGATGAACACTCACTCACTCAAGCTCTGCCCATTTACTCTGCCCACTTGGTTTTTCCCAGAGGTCGTTTAAAAAGAAAATCATGTTTTAAGAATTCTAACAGCAAAGAAAATGTTTTACCCTGAAAGTAAATATAAAACACATGTGTTTATTACCAAAGCAACAGCTATGCTCCACCCGACCACTGTTAGTAAGAATTTAGACTCTCGTTCAACCTCTCACGGAGTTAAAACACCCACCCTTGGTGAGAGCAGCTATGACTCTGTGAAAGCAGCTACAAATAACATGCTGGGAAATTCAGCAGGCACTGCTATTATATCCTGTTTATACTGTCATTTTTCCTATCAGTAGGATATTATTTATACAGACCCCACCCATGAACTTCTTGTTTATCTTATTATAGATATCCTCTGAATCTATAAAAAGAAGACTCTGCATTTGTTTCTGGAACAAGCCATGTGTTGTAATTTTGCACCTCACTACACTTTTTTATTTAGCATTTTCTTTTGTTATGCACTACTTTTCCTCCTTTTTATCTCAGGGTTGATTTTTTCATTATCTCACACATTAGAGTTGAACTTTACTGACTTCGAGAGACTCATTACAGGACAGATATTCTGGACAACCACAAACCCCAACTTTATTTTAGGGTATTGATATCGATATTCTTCCAAGACACACTGAACTAATTTGTTTCAAGAGAGAAAAATGTGCCTACGTACTGGTCACACAGGAGTGAGTAAGCCCTGGGTGCCCAGAAGGCCACTCTGTCCCAGGCGGGCCAACTGCAAGGGCCCAGCTTTATATTAGTTCTTATGAACACAATCTCTTTTCTGGAATGAAAAGCCCTGCCCCTGAGTTTAGCTTGATGACTGAATGTGCTGGATGAAAATGTAACACAACAATGCATGAGAAATACATTAATTCTCCAATGCCCCAGCTGACCAATGGGGCAATTAACCAAACTGGTTATAAAGCATCCTCATTCCCTAGCCTTATGTAAATAATTCAATTAAAGTAGATTAAAAGAAAATTATGAGTTCCTAAGGGCAGAAATTCATACAGCATTTATTGAGCAAATAAATAATTATTTCTGGAGAGGAAATATCATTGGACAAAGTCATACTGGATAAATTTTCACATGAATATCCGTGTTAGCTTCAGCAATACTCATTTTACCCTACAAGGCAGCTAGGTGAGCATGAATCTTCAAAGAGAATATACAGTGCTAGACTCTTTGGGGATGTGCACGAAATCGTTTAGATTGTTACTCTAAAATGTGTAACTGCCCTGGCTGGCTGACATGGCTCAGTGAATTGAGTGTCGGCCTATGAACTGAAAGGTCACTGTTTGATTTCTGGTCAGGAGACATGCACATGCCTGGGTTGTGGGCCAGGTCCCCAGCTCCGGGTGTGCAAGAGGCAACCAGTTGATGTTTCTCTCCCTCTCTTTCTCCCTCCCTCTCCCTTCTCTAAAAAAACAAACAAACCTTAAAATGTATAACTGAAATGAGGTTTAGTACCTCAGGGCGGTGCACTAAGACTAATTAATTTCAGAAAAAAGAGATGTCCATATGAGCTAAAGTGATCAAAGAAGACAGAATGAGGATAGTAACTGAGGTAGTAACCTCAATAAACAGGAATTGATAAGGCAGAGGTGACAAAGTGAAAGGCATCCTAGGATCAACCTATTTGTTCACATCCAGGTAGACAGAATTCTGGAAATGGTGAGTAGCTGAATTCAGCTAGGGACTATACTGAATAGAAGATGACAATAAAAAGAAGGTCGGAGGCCCCTTACTACGTGACAGGCACACCTAGACCAAAAAAAAAAAAAAAGGGCCCAAATGGAAGAACAGACCAAAGCTCCAGAAAAAATACAACTACACAATGAAGAGATAGCCAACCTATCAGATACACAGTTCAAAACACTAGTAATCAGGATGCTCACAGAATTGGTTGAATTTGGTGGCAAATTAGATGAAGAAATGAAGGCTATGCTAAGTGAAATAAAGGAAAATGTACAGGGAGTTAAAAGTGACAGGAAGGAAACCAGGACTCAAATCAACGATTTGCAGCAGAAGGAATAAAGAAACATTCACAAAGAACAGAATGAAGAAACAAGAATTTTAAAAAATGAGGAGAGGCTTAGGAACCTCCAGGACATCTTTAAACGTTCCAACATCCAAATTATAGGGGTGCCAGAAGGAGAAGAGGAAAAGCAAGAAATTGAAAACTTATTTGAACAAATAATGAAGGAGAATTTCCTCAGTCTGGCAAAGGAAATAGACTTCCAGGAAGTCCAAGGTTCAGAGAGTCCCAAAGAAGTCTGACCCAAGGAGGAACACACCAAGGCATATCATAATCACATTAGCCAAGATTAAAGATAAGAAGAGAATCCTAGAAGCAGCAAGAGAAAAGGAGAGAGTTACCTACAAAGGAGTTCCCATTAGACTCTCAGCTAACTTCTCAAAAGAAACCTTGCAGGCAAGAAGGGGCTGGAAAGAAGTATTCCAAGCCATGAAAGGCAAGGACCTACATCCAAGATTACTCTATCCAGCAAAGCTTTCATTTAGGATGGAAGGGCAGATAAAGTGCTTCCCAAATAAGGTCAAGTTAAAAGAGTTCACCAAGCCCTTATTGTATGAAATGTTAAAGGGACTTATTTAAGAAAAAGAAGGTAAAAAATATGAACAGTAAAATGACAACAAGCTCACAGTTATAACAACCACACCTAAAACAAAAACAAAAACAAAAACAAAGAAGGCTGGAGTCAAATTATGAGCAGTCTCATTTTTTGGTCAACAGAGAACCATGAAAGATAACTGATCAAGGGAAAATGAACCCAAGCTTTCAAACTAGGAATGAATAGAAGGAATAAAAGTTGGAGTGAGGCTGAAAAGGGGGGTAAAGTTTTAACAGTATCAAAACAGTAGAAAAACAAAGGTCCAAGTGACATAACAGATGATAAATGTGTTTCAACTCTTGCTTTCAAAAACAGGAGATTGCACCATGATGACTGCCACTGAGTGCTCAAAGTTAAACAAGGCCAGGCCACTGAAGTTCAAGTCAGGAAAGCTTAAGAGTACCCTAGAACAGTACTTCTCAGACCCAAATCACCTGGAGATCTGGCTAAAATGTAAATTCTGATTCAGGTTTAGGGTATTGCTCTCTATTTTTACATTTCCAACAAGCTCCCAATACTGCTTTTCCATGGAGTAGATTTTGAGTAGCAAGATGCTAAAATATCTCTCAGTTTCCCTTTCCAAAAAGGTAGTATTTAATATACTACATTTAATCCATTACGGTTTGTCTAATGCTTTTACATATGCCTAAGAAATTCCTTTTAAATGTATTTTATTATAATTTGCATCAATGCAGGATCAGTTTCAAAAGCTACTATTTTGAAATTCTAAGATGATTCAACATTCAGGGTATTCAAGATACTCAAATTATTTCCGCCCGAACAAAATCAACTTTAGAATGCTGCTCTATAACACTGTAATTTTGTCATTCTTTTCAGGCTGGCAAACTAAAAGGTGCTATTGCTCCTAATCCTGGGGCTGAAGTAAAAGCCCTGAAAGACAGCCCTCCATCTGCTCGCAGTGCGCATCAGTGGGTTTTGGTAAAACCCACTTAACCTGCCCTTAGCATTGTATCTTAACCCTTGAAAATAAAGGTAATAGTTTATTTGAAATATACTACTGGAAAGCACCTGAAGATTACAAAACTTAAATTCACACACCACCCTTCTGTTTAAGATCTCCATACAAAAGGACATGCCTTTACTTAAAGTCTTTTACCATGAATAGTGTCATTTACAAAAATATCACACACACACACACACATTAAGACTGGCTGGTCTGAATTCTTCAAACAAAAGTTAAGGCTTCTGAAATCTTGTTTCATTTTTAATCAAATTAATGGTCAATAACAATTTTTTAGGTAAATTGTCCTCAATACATATCAATGTCTAGTGAACATACACAATATTTTAAAATTGGAAGGTACTAGTGAAGATCAAATACAACTATTTCATTGGAGAGGTAAGGAACTGAGGCGCAGAGGCTAAAAGGGCCAAAGTCATACAGCTGCCACTGACACATTAAAGAAAAAGAAGGGAGAGGAGCAAGTTAACTTTCACATCTATCGGGGACAACGCACGATGACATATCAACTACAAAATGTAGTTGAGAGGGTTTCTGGTTCCTCTAAAGACTAAGGCATAGCTGGTTTTATAAATCACTGATATCAAAAAAAGGAACACTACAGAACAACAAAGAAAAGACATGCTACCCAACTTAACTTCATAAAAATGCAGTCTGAATAGAGAATGACACATTTACACCACATACTTGGGATAGGGATTTGGTGGGGTGGTAATGGGATGGGATATAAAAAACAGAGAGAAGACAATGGTAACTCTTATCTTCTCAGCAATGGTTTGAGAAAAGCTTTCACATACAGAAAAGTGGTTTAAAAAACACAACTTCCTTCATTCTCATGAATCATTCTTTATTGGTAAAAGCGAGAATCAGATTTGGAGGACTGCACGTATATGACATGTAGGTAGCAGGTGGATAATTCACATGTCATGAGCTCTGTCACAATTACAAGAAAACCAGAGAACCCTTTTTTAGACATAAAATAGGGAATTTTGTGCTTTTTCACAAATGCTATTAAAATTTTTTAGCACAAGTTTTGAAAAATCACTGGGGAAGTTCCATGATATCAGAGACAATGGGTTTTAAATCACTGGCATACATTATTATGCCCAAGTTGACAGATCTGCACTGCAATGCAGAAATGCAAGCAACAATCCAACATCTGCACCAGAAGGCAGAGATCAGACATGATTCCAGAATAAAGGGCTCTTCAGCTCTTACCTGTTACCTGTGCAACAACTGCTTGGGAAATCCTCCGATTGGCAAGAAAGGCTTTGATTTCCTCTTTTATCACACTGCTGTCCCTCCTAACAAAAACAGAAGACAAGACCAACAATGTATGTTGAAGGTAGAAATCCTCATCTTTGCTAAGAAAGGTGAAGCAGAGAGGTGGGGAGAACACAGAAAGGAAGGACACAAAAATAAAGGCAAACACACCAAGCTTGTGTGAAACATGAAATTAAAAGAAACCAAGAAACACCAAATATTCAAGTCCTAAAACACCACACCATCAGACGGATGCTGTAGTGAATGTAGCACGGTAGTTTAACTTTCATACCAGGAGGTGGCTAACTGCATGCTGTGAATAATTCACATTAGGAACAAGCTGCCATATGGTATGCACAAAGTGTCATTACTGTGGGATGAATGTATCTTACACAGACAGAAATCCTAGAAAATAGAAGCGACAACAAAAAAAATCAGTTGTGAGTAGATCGTGGGTTTGCATGTTCACTATGCACTGCATAAATAAGGTGCAGTTCCTTTTAAAACCTTTGTTGAAGAACAGAAGTCATCATCATTCTCACAACTGCTAGAATATTAGTCATTTCAAAAGGTCTTTGCCTTTTAATTTGCCTGATTTTCCTGTGTAAACAAAAAAATGTAAGTGGGATGGGCTGAATATAAAATTTTAGTATAAAAAGGCACTTATTAATTTATTACATGTGTTATACACAATACTTAATACTTAAACCTACACTATTTTCTGAATCCTTGAATTACATATTATAGACCTAATTTTTCCTCCACTGAGATGCCTTAACAATTTTTACTTATTTAAAAATTCAACAAATTCTCAAAAGACTAGACATTCACTAGGACGAATATGAACAGTGAGACTTCTGTTTCTCCACTAGAACAAAAAGAATACGTAAAGAAAAATTATACTTTAAACTGAGCGATTTTTCTTTGAATGTTTTATGTACGAAAAGATTACACAAATAGAGCACTAATGTTTGTTGAAGCCCAAAAGTAACAGAACAGTGGTAACATAATCTACTACAGAGGTCAGCAAACTCCCACCTTTTTTTTTATACACCCTATGAACTAAGAATGGTTTCCACAGATGAACATTTGCAATCAACTTAGTGGCAGGAAACACTATCTTTAAATGTGAATTAAAGCAAAATATAATCCCCTCCCAAATTCTATTTTCCTCACTAGTAGGCTTGCATTTTTAAACTTGTATTTAATTATTATTCTACACTGAATTTTGTTAATAAAAATTTGTGTCCATTTGTTTTCTCTCTTGCAAGTTGTCTATATTATATACTCAATTTTGTCTCTTGTCCAAAAAATTTACCATCTAGCCCTTTATGTAAAAAGTTTGCTGATTCCTGATCTGCGACAAAGGGATCATGAAATCCTTACAATCAATCATTTTGTGAATGAACCAGGAACTCTTTATAGGAGCTCAAGTCTCTCTACAGATTGTTTGGAGAAACAAAGAAAAATACCCTTTCCAAAATGAATCAGTTGTAACTTAATTTAGAGCAGATATTTTAGCCCCTTGAGCAGCAGGGGCTACACATTCTGTTAGTGGATTTCACACTCTAGGGAGGAGGGGCTACACATTCTGTTAGTGGACTTCACGCTCCCTTTCAGTCATTCTGGAAGAGAACAGAGAGGTGACAGTAGGGAGAACTTCCAGTCGGAGCTCTACAGCATATTCCCGATCTACTGGTTGGAAATCCTAATTAAAAAAAGATTCCCAAAGGAAGAAAATAGCTGCCTAATCCAACATCTAAAATTTCTCACACTGGTCTAGCTTCTGATCTAGATAATAGATAAACTCCTTCCAAAATGCTTGTTCATGTTTAAAATATTTCCTTAAAAATATGCACTCATTTTATTTTTAAAATTGTGTCTTTGACAGAAAAGACACAAATAAGTACATTTTAAAGTCAAACAAAACCACAAACTGCTGAGTAAAATACAGGCAATATAGACTAAACAGCTCACAAATGTCCATCAATAATCAGCTGAGCAAGAGATAACTTAAGCAGTATCTATTTCAACTGGCTGATATACATAAACAACCAAATCATTTGATTTCTGCAAAATTAAAATGAAAAAAAAAAAACTTAAAGAAAGCACTGCATTTCAATGTATAGAGTGTCCTCAGAAAATAAAACCTGAATATTAAGATAAATTTTTTAAAAATGTCCTTGTATGGAGAAAATGATTAGGTAGTATTTTCTTGACCACTGATATAAACTGGAATTTAAATCAATTTACTTTAAATCAAATTAACCTGAAGTAGACACTAAATCAGAGAGAGGAGGCAATCCTCAATTATTCCAACAGGGAACACCCCGTTCGTGAATTATTCACAGTCTCGCAGTGGGATACAGTCAAGGACGGCAGCAAGACAGCAGTTCACTTGCACTCCCGTGGGCTGCACTTGTGGAGACTCGACAAGTTTCTAAGTACCCACAGTGAGTTTCAAAAAAACCTCTTTACTCAACTGCTTTCTTTACCAGAGAGAATCTTTTTTGAATTGAAGAAAAATTTAAGACTTGAAAGAAAAGGCTGTGCTCGAGCAAGTCACTTAATAAGCCTGGGCTTTGGTTTCATCATCTGGTAAAATGAGAACATTAATACCACCATCACACAGCTTTTGAAATGTTTTTCCAAGCACTGAAATTAAACTTAAATGAAAGTTAATACTAAATGTGTATATAACATAAATAGAATGTTTTTCAATGTAAACATTTTTGAAACTGTAAAGGCACTACATAAACAATGGCTGTTATTTTATAAAATACCAGAAAGAATCCTGGGGAAAAATAGAAACAAATGACCTGCTGTAACTACATAAGACTGAATTAAACATCTGCATTGGGTACTTGAAGGCACCATGAAAACATTTCTAGAAAGTCACTTTAGACACAAACAGTGATGTGGCATTCAGTTGACTTAATAGGTACCTTCAAAACAGCAACACCATTCAACTTTCTTCATGTCCAATTCTCTTAAGGAATTTAAAAAACTTCCATTCTACTGCATTGCCTTTGTTCTTTAAACTTTCACATATCCCCCTCATCCTCCCCTCATTCAGCCTTCTTAACCTGCCTCTCCTACTGTACACATTGTACCCTGTGAAATTACCACTTTCTTGGTGTAGAAACTCTTTCATTTACTCCAGACATAATTTTCTCCCACTCCTTATTTCTTCTCTTCTGAAATTTGACATCCTCTTTAAAGAGAAGGAATCCCTTTTTCCTCCCATGTCTTATAAAGTCTCACGCTCATCAGGATTTCTTCTCCTCAAGTCTTACGGAATTAAAGTCAAATGTAGGCTGACCTTTCTTTGACCCATAACTTACTTCCCCAGAGAAGCTACCACTCTGTTTGCAGCTAACCACTTGGAGTCCATGTCATCATCCCTTCCTGCTGCCTTTTCCAAACCAGCCACGTTGGATTCTCTATCTGGTGATTTCCACATGTGGATGGAATTCTTCCTTTCCACCCTACACTGCCATTACTTTTATAACTTGCTAAACTTTCCATTGTTATCAACAGACCTTTCTTAGTATCTGGATGAATTAATCAGCAATGCCTCTTTGTGAAATGATTCTGTTTTAAGACAGAATCTAATTGTCATCTATTCACGGAACTTCTCCCTGATCCTGGAAGCTAACAAAGACCTTTTCTTCCAACAGCACTTGAACATTTCAATTGTACTACCTACACACTAATATGTTACATGCTATTCTATGTAACAGTTGTTTGTTATCTTTCTTGCTGGTCTGTAAAGTCCTTTAACATAAACACTATCTTATTCATCATGGGGTTTGCATAAAATAGAGCTTAATTTGTTCAATGAATGAACAAATCAGTGTTTGGAGATAAAAGGTGGTAAAATAGAAAACCTGATCTAGATAATTTATAAAACAACTCTAAATTCTTATTCTTATATATGTTTCAACTTCCACACCAGAATGAAAAAAGAATTATTTATGCTAGCTCAAAATGGCAATACTTTCTTTTCTGGAACAAAGAATACTAAAGAATGCATACTTAAAAGTAGCATGCTTTCAGATCTTCCATAACGTTTTGGTTGATATACACTACACATTCTTTAGGACCCCCCAAAAGGTAGTCTTATTTTTTCTTTTTTATTAAATTTATTGGGTGACATTGGTTGATATTAAAGGCAGTCTTTTATCTCAAAGACTTTCCACCTTTCACAGGTGGAAAAATACAATTGCATACAAATTCTTTCATATTTGAATAAAAACCTGATCCCTTTAATTTCCATACATGGAGATAAACAAAACATAATTTAAATTTTTTAAAAGATAATTTTAAAAAGAAAAGCTACTCTATATGTATAAACAACATGGTAACTGAATATTATGACTTATGGAACCATAAGTACCCTACCTACACAAGTAAATAATACCCTATTGTTAGAGCTACAGATAACTAACTAAAAAGAAAATCTTAGAATCTTATATAAAATGCTAATTACTGAGTCCGGCACAAATAACGCCCCTTTTTAATTACAAAATCATAAGCATGTATAATTCTGCACATAATAATATCACACTCAAGCACGCCATATGACATTTTAGATGAAATGTTCAATTAACACTATAAATTGTTACACCTATATTATTAGCCTACCAACCACACTCAAGCAGGCCTTACTTCTGCCGGACCCTGTATATTAACATTATGTATATTGTAACACTTACCTCATTTCAATTGTTATTTTATAATATACACAGAACAAAACAGATACTTTAATAAATGTATACTATGATGTCAGCATATATATATACCTAGATATACATATATATTAATAGACACATTTAAAAAATATTAACACGTGAATGGGCGTCATTCTAAAGCTAAGAGTTTTAAAGTCCTTCCTAGAATGTTGTATTCAACAATTTGTTGAGTATTATATTCTGGTTTCCTTTTTATGTTTTTTACCCTGATCAATCAAAAAATGGAAAAAGTAACAGTTACTTTCCTTTTCATTCTTTTTTAATAGGTTGATCAGACATAATTATAACAATCAATTTATAAAAAAAAATCCTTTATGTAACTTGAAATTACCGAGAGTTAAGTGTAAAGCCCTGACCGGTGTGGCTCAGCTGGTTGGGTGTTATCCCACAAAGCTAAAGGCCACTAGGTCGATTTCCAGTCAGGGCACATGCCTGGGTTGTGGGTTTGGTCCCTGGTCAGGGCATGTATGAGAGGCAACCGATCAACGTTTGTTTCTCTTGCACATTGATGTTTCTCTCCCCCTCTTTCTCCTTTCCTCTCTCTAAAACTAAATAAGATCTTCTTTAAAAAAAAGTTAAGTATATGGATGCAATGGGTTATAAAATTTGAAAAATATATTTCATGATTGAGTGCTAGGGAAGTTGGGCAATGTAAGCATGCAAAAGGTAAATTATACAGGGTGGGGCAAAAGTAGGTTTAGAGTTGTTTGTATGAAAAATAATATAATAATAAATAATAATGCAAGAATAAACTCTGTGCTTTGCTTACTCACAACTGTAAATCCCCTTTTTCCCCCCAGCCTGTATATGATACATGCAGAAACAGAGGCAGGAAGGCATTCAGGTACCAAGAACCCATTCTCCCCACCTAGGAACCACCAAATCCAGTCCACTACAGTATCATCACAGTGTTGAGCGATCATCAAGGACAGTATAGCTCTGCATGGGCACAGGGCACTCAGAAAGATCCACTGCTCAAAAATTTCTCTAACATTCTACCAAATAAAAAGTTATTTGGTTAGTTAAGTGACTGACTTGAAGTGGCAAATATCATGGGAGTTGGGAGGAGGCGCTTAGCCCATTGAGGCATTCATACTTTGTCTTGAGTTACATTAACCTCTGTTCCTAAAATCTTACCGGAATCTGCAGACATCAAAAATTTATTTACAAAGGCAACAGGTAACAGTGGCACATTGGCAATAAAGACATGAAGTTAAAATTCAAGATCTGCCACTTAAAATTTATAGTTTCTTGAGCCAATTATTTAAGTTTTGTGAATTTCAACTTCTCTGCTCCAACTTACAATATGGTTGTAATGATTAAAGTGAGGACAGTCATGCAATAAACTTCTCCCTCCAATCTCAGGATTGTTATTACCTGCAAGCTTAAGAAAAATGGGAGGTGGGGACAAAAGAAGAATGTAGGTATGGGTAAGGGCACAGTGGTAGAGCACCAGAGAGCCAGAAAGTCCAGTGAAATCCTGAGATGATTAGAGGACACTAAAGTAGCAGTTCTAAGAAACTGACGCAGAGAAAAGGAAGATGATAAAGCATCCTAACTTCACTACAAAGTATGTAAATTAAATACTAATAACAATACATAAACAGGTATGTAGTTAATGACAAAACTTGAATGTGCATAACTGCAGAATTTAAGTACTAATCCCAGTTATCGCTAAGTAGGTATTCTGGGGTTTTTTTGTTTGTTTTTCTGAGGACATAGTTGAATTACAGTATTATGCCAACCTAAGAGCTAACTGAAGTTTTAGACCCTGGCCAATCTTTTAGAGCCTTCTGTTAAAAAGAAAATTTTCTCAAACTTCTTGTTAGTTTAATACACGCTTGGAAATTAACTTGTTAAAAGTTTATTAAAACTGATTAACAGCAGCAGCAATAACAAAAAACAGGCTAGCATCCTAACAAATAAATTTTATTGTTAATATCCTTACTCTCAGGATAATTAAAAGCTAACATTCTTATATTTCAATAACTAAAGTAACTTTTATTTGCCCAAATGGTTCTCTTAATCTTGATGATGACATATATGTTAAGTTCAAAAAGAACATATGAACTTTGGATTGCTGCTTTAACAAATGACAATGAATTCAAAGTCAAACTGATCTCGAGCCCTGGCTGGTGTGGCTCAGTGGACTCAGCACCAGCCTGCGAACCAAAGGGTCACTGGGTTGATTCCCAGTCAGGGCATATGCCTGGGTTGCAGGCCAGGTCCCCAACAAGGGGCAAATGACAGGCAACTGCACATTGATGTTTCTCTCTGTCTCTTTCTCTCCCTCCCCTCTCTAAAATAAATGAAATCTTTAATAAGAAATTGATCTTGTATATTTTTAAGTTTTAAAAGCCTAAATAATAGGGTCCTGTGGTTGTTCTAGGAAACTGTTCATAACCAGAATTACACTGAAATCTAGATACAATAGTCTCTGTAGCCCAGAATTCCACAGTGGTAGTTCCATCCTGAAAATAAATTCAGGATAGTTTGTTTAAAAGATATTACACCATTGTGGTACTACAGGATAGATCTTCCATATGGCAATATCAAGCCCCCATTATACTATCTTCAAGTTATACTATCTTCAAGTCTTAAAATCTTTAGGGATTTTAACTCATAATTACAGAGTTTAATTTTATCTCTGACAAGTTCCTGCACAGCTTCTTTCATTATGCACAGTAACTAATCTATCTGCAGCCTCTCCTCCCTACTACAGTACAGGCGTACCTCAGAGATATTGCAGGCTCGGTTCCAGACCACGACAATGAAGCAAATATAGCAATACACAGTGAAGAAACTATAGCAAGTCACACAAATGTTTTGGTTTCCCAGTACATACAAAAGTTACATTTACACTATACTATAGTCTATTAAGTATACATACCTTAATTAAAAAATGCTTTACTGTTAAAAAATGCTAACCATCATCTGAGCCTTGAGTGATTCATAATCTTTTTGCTGGTGGACGGTCCAGCCTTGATGTTGATGAAAACCCAGTATCCACAAAGTGCAATAAAACGAGGTATGCCTGTAGTGATGACGTACTGAAAACAATACTTTTATCATCTATATTCCTAAAGATCTGTAAAAATGCCTTATCTCCAACCAAATGAATGATAAACTATCTGTATGGAACTCAAATCTCCCAAAACCTGTACTGCCTCCAAATTTACTATTCTTATTACCATAGTCCAGCCCATCTGCAATCCTCTGAAGATGAAACATGTCTAGTCTTTTCTACCTTTTACTATTCTCTTACCTTTAAATAAAGTCCTTATATTTCAAAGGAGAGGCTATCTTTTAAGGTTTAGCTCAAATTTGCCCATTCACTTAAAATGTTGCCCTTACCATGTACCAAGGCTTGGCACATCCTAGTGACACAACAATCGGAAACACGTGGTTGTTGCCCTCCAAGTGTCCCGGTCCCACGTGAAGCCATTCCTAATTGCCTCTGCTGCAAGTGAACATCTCCTCATATTCTCAGTGTTTAAAACCCTAAGCGCTCAAGCTTGGAATGGGTAGCATCACACATATATATGTGGCATCTACTGCTAAAAGGAGAACTTTTGCTTAAGAACAGAAACCATGTATTTTTCTCCCTAAGAACGCTACTTTTTATAGCGTAAGGGCTTAAAATTATTTTTTAGTTGGTATGTTGGAGGGAAAAAGTAAGCCTGTACATATTCTGTATCATGATAAAATCACCTTCACCCTCAGGAAGACTACTTACAATAATTTAAGGAATAGAGTGTATTAGCAAAGCTGACCATTCAGATGTGGGCAATTGGAGCCGTAAAGAGAAGGCTAACTTTTGCTTCGATAAACAGAGAGAATGGAAAAGGCATATCAAACAGCAAAGTGAAAGAGCTGAAGTTGAAAAGAGAAAATCAGAATTAAAAACATAAAATTTAAAATTTTTCTTTCATCTCCAAAGTGGGCAGGGGGAAATCACAGTTCTTATAGGTAAGCAGCAGAAATACAATTTATTACTCAAAACTAATCTAAGAACAAAGACATTCTGGGGACTCTGAATAAGCAAAGGAACCAACCTCATTAACTCCTCCACTTTATCATCTACATCAAGGTCTTCTTCTGAGGCTTCAAAACTGTATGACCTCTGACCCATGCTGTTTGCATGGTAGCGAGTTGGTGACATCTTTCCATTGGACGTGGACAATCGCTCGTTATTCTCCCTCCCATTTTGATTGGTAGTGCAAGGCTGTGGGGAGGTATCATAACTGTTGCTAGGCGATGGGGACATTCCCGAATGCTGGGTCTGTGTGGAGGCTGTAGCTGTAGAGGAAGATGCTGCAACATTGTTGGTACTATTCCCGTATGAACTTCCCCCATAGCTGGACCTTCTTCCAAACTTGTCACTATGCTCTTGATCAAGTCGGTCCAAAGTTTCCAAGGCATGGAGAATTTCGTGTTTAGTCATTCCAGTACGCCGAAGGCGCTGAAGCAGATCTATCTGTTCTATGGTAAATCTGGGTTCATCTGTATAGTGAGACATGGTTTCCAACAAACTGAAAAAAAATTAAAAGTTAAAATTAAAAAATGTCCCTTTATTTACAATATCTACCAAAGAACATATCATTATACAGAATGCTCAGCAGAAGATGCTGAGCTTCTTCAGTGAAAATGACTGAGGCATTACTATTATAATGATCCAAGATTTCAGTTATGGCAGCAATACCAAAACAACAGATTAAGTAAATACACTATGAAGTCCAGGCTACATGATTACTCACAGGTGTTTTTTAATCTCAAATTTATTATTCTGCATTAGAGTATCAATAAACAGTTGCTGAAAAAATACTTCATATTTTCTTATTTTACTAAATAACAACAGCAAAACTGAACTAGGAACTCTATAACTTCATTTATTGTAAACAAATGATTCAATAAACTAAACCAAAGCAAATACTAGTAACTAGCAAAATTATTTAAAGAGGAGAGTTTAAATTTAAAATTATTTAAATACATAAAAAATGTATTAAGCACCATTTTGTCTACCACTTAGCAATTTTATATTTCATTTCTGTAATGCATTCTCTGTTAAATGATATCCTGAGAAATGGATCTTTCATGGTTGTAGCCAAAGTGAACTATTTATTTGTCTTAGAAAATTGCTTCTACATTATGTTTACTTTAACTAACACAAGAGACTGCAGCACATCAGAAAAGGTTCCAGAGTCAATGACAATACAACACTGGTCAACAACAGACCACATACACAACAAATCTAGGTGGTCCCAAAAGATCATCACCTAGCCATCCTAACAGCCTTTGTAATCTCATGACACAATGCATTACTCCTGTGTTTGTGATGATGGGCCAAACGAACGTACTGCACCGACAGTCATTTAAAAGTATAGCACATACAATAATGTATAGTACATAATGCTTGATAATGATAATAAACAACCATGTTACTGATTCATCCATTTACTATACTATACTATTACTGTTACTGTAGAATGTACTCTTTCTACTTATAAAAAAAAAACATGCTGTAAAAGAGCATGCAGTGTCACCACAGCAGCTGCCTGTGTTGCTGTGGTGTTTATCTCTTGATTGCATCACTTTCTCTTATGCTGTTTTGTACAGTAACATGCTGTACAGACTTGTAACCCAGGAGTAAAAGGCTGTACCATAGAGCCTAGGTGTGTAGTAGCTGTACCATCTAGGTTTGTGTAAATGCACTCCACAATATTCACCTAACAACGAAATCACCTAACAATGCATTTCTCAGAATGTATCCCCACGTTAAGTGGTGCTTAGCTGTATTAAATTTAAGGGAGTTGTCAAACATAAAAATTCTTACTACTTTAATTCCTATTTTTATAAAACCCAAATTTCCTATTTAACATATTTTGAACTGCAATTTCTTCTATTTTTATTTTAATAGGTCTATGCCAAATAGTATGCATTGCATGTAGTAGGTTCTCAATTAAGTGTTTGCTTATGGAAATAATGTCAGCACCAGAAGTTTCTTCAACCCTCTACATTAAAAATTATTAAATACTCACATTTAAGAAGGCACTGGGCAAGAGTTTCATATAATATAATGTCACCTAATCCTCACAGCGACCTTCTGTGGTAGATTTTCTTTTTTTAAAAATTTGTATTAATTGATTGATTATTGAAGAAACTAAGGCTCAGAGTGATTTTGTACCTTGTAAAAAGTCTGATTAAGAGGCAGAAAAGATTTAAACCTAGATCTTACTAACTCCAAAATCATACATTGTTCTGCTTTCCAATAAAGGCAAGACTTGCTGGACACGCACGATTTGGAGTGCAGGCTACTGTACTCTTTTAAGTCTCCAGTATCTTCTGCTTCCTTCCAATGCGCATGACCAGCCACCACAGCAGTCTGTCCTTTCACAATCATTACATTCTTTCTGGATGGCCTAGGCTTTCTCCTCCAGCCACTTTGCAATAAAAAATTTCATACAGAAAAAACTGAAATATATTTACCTGGAAATGGTCCAGGTAACATATAGTAAAATACACAGTGAAATATAGTGAAATACATTACCTGGAAATATACAGTGAACCTATATACTAAGCACTCAGATTTTGCCATTACCATCTTACTTGCTTTATCACACATATACCCAGTCCATATGTGTCCATCCCTCTACTCATCTAATTTTTCAATGCATTTCAAAGTCAGTTACAGACATCTGTACACTTCCACCTAAATACTTCCGCACGCGTATCACTGACTAGAGCTCAGTATTTGTTCAGGTTTTCTTTCTTTTGGGGTCAACTTTACATAAAAGCAAAGACACATATGTTTACCTTTCTGTGAGTTTTGAGAAGTAGGTACATATGTGAAATTCAAATGCCTATGGAGATACAGCATGTTACCATCACCCCAGGCAGTCCCCTCATGTCCCTTCCATGTCCCTTTCCCTCAGAGGCAACCACTGCTCAGATTTTTCCCCACTACAAATTAGTTTTGCCTGGTCTAAAAAATCATATAAATGGAATTTTTATGTGCTCTTGTGTAAGGCTTCTTACACTGAGCATAAAGGTTTTGGGATTCATCTATAATGTTGTGTCTATCAACAGTTTGTTCCCTTCTATTGCTGAGTAGTACTTCATTGTAGGAATATACCACAGGTTTATCCATTCTACTTAGGACATTGAGACTATTTCCAATTATTAGCTATTCTAAATGCTTTCGCTATTATAATTGTACTCTACTAATTTTCTTGTTAACTTAATATATCCCCCTGTAATATATCATCACCTACCTGGTTGGGTGAGAAAACTTTCAACCAGAGTAACTCATTTACTTTTTCTCCTGACCAGTTTCAGAAGAACAGTACCCATTACTTAACACAAATGATCTGTTATTCAAATGTTCTATGATCTATGCTAGTTATATTATACAGGTGCATTCGCTGTGACCATTCACCAAGTTGTACACTACTGATTTGCACATTTTTCAGTAGATATGTTGCACTTAAAAAGTTTGTTGAAAAAAAAAAACTACATGAGTATTTTCCTAATGACTTATAAGAAACAACACTTTAGTTTCTGTTTTAATCCTCAGCCCTTTGCATGCTCTACCAAGTGCTGAACAGTACAGCAATCCCCCCTCAACCATGGTTTTGCTGTCAACCAAGGCTCCAAAATATTAAATGAAAAATACCAGAAATAAATCATTCGTAAGTTTTAACCTGTGCGTTGTTCTGAGTAGCATGATGAAATCTCACACCATCCTGCTCCACTCTGCCTGGGATGTGAATCACCTTTCTGTCCAGCATCTCCAGACTTACAGGCTACCCGCTCATTAGTCACTTAGTATCCATCTTAATTAGCAGATGGACTGCTGTGATACTGCAGTGCTTGTGTTTAAGAAACACTTATTTTACTTACTAATGGCCCCAAAGCACAATAGTGATGCTGACAACTGGGAGATACCAAAGAGAAGCTGTAAAGTGCTTCCTTAAAATGAAAAGGGGAAAGTTCTCAACTTAATAAGAAAAAAGATTGTATGCTGAGGTTGCTAAGATCCAGGACAACAATGAATTTTCTATCTGTGAAATTAAGAAGGTAAAAGAAATTTGTGCTAATTTGCTAAGAGAGACTACATTCACGTAACTGTTATTATAACAGTTACAATTGTTCTATTTTATTATTGTTGTTATTGTTAATCTCTTACCTAACTTATAAAGTATTTCACCAGTATGTACATACAGGAAAAATATAGTATATACAGCATTCAGTATCTGTGGTTTCAGTCACCCACTGGGAGTCTTAGAACATACCCACTGTGGATAAGGGGGAATACTGCTTATTAATCCTTATCCTAGGAAGTTATTTTTTGAAGTAGTTGACAAATCCCTTTAGTAATCCAAATAATTTAACTTTGAATTTATTACTTTGGTAAATTGAGGTTTCTATACATCATTCTTTTACCTTTAAAATGAATGCCTGTCCATTGCTAACTTTAGTCTTCACATTCTCAAACTACTTCATAAGCTGACATGTCCTTACTTTAAATAGGAGACTTCAAGAACTGTTTTTTAATATGGAAAATAAAACAAAACAAAACACCTATCATAATACTGCAGGGACCAAAGTTCTGCCACCCCAAAATGTATCTTTTGGGACACTGATTTGAAGCTGGTTATTAAGAAACAAAGGCTCAGAAAAACCTTTGACCCACCCCTTTCCTGTCTAAGGGAAGTCAGATGGCAAGTCCTGCTTCAGGAAGGGAGCCCTAACATATTCACTTTAGAACTCTCGCCTTAGCCTAGTAACTGCTAAATAAGATAGACAAGAAAGATCCATGCAAAAACCTGTTCTGCTCAATTCTCCCCTCAGTTCCACTGTTTTTGCGTTGCCTGGCGTGAGTTTGCTGTTCATGTGTTCCATTCTTTCTTGGCTACCTACGAACTGCCTATTTCCCCTTGAAATCACAAACCTAGGCCCCCACCCCTTCTCCTTTGTCTAAAATGGCATATAAACCTCAACTGCAGAATGCCTCTTTGGGTCTCACTATGACACCCCCAAATGTACATTTGTATAATAAACTTGTATAATAAACTTGTTTATTTGTATAATAAACTATAATAAATTTTGTCCTGTTAATCTGTTAATTTGATTAGCCCAACTAGAAGAATTTAGAAGGTATGAGAAAAAATTTTTTGATAGCCCCACAATATTTTCCTGTTTTATTTATGTCAGAACAGAGAGTAATCTGTATAACTTCAAATCTCTCTCAGTATAGAGCAGTACTTTATATTAGCATGAAACTAAAGTATATTATATGAATTATATTATATGCATTATATTATATGAACCTATAATTAAAAAGTATCCATCCTAAAGCTGGTAATAGAACTAAAGATTCCACAGTATCTGAAACAATGAACTCCTTTACATCATTTCAGATTCACTGATGATGGAACACACTTTTTACCTGAAAACTCATAAAAGGAGATAACACAAAGGACCAATTAATTTTGTTTGCCCAGAATGCCTCATTGTTTCCAACCACATGTTCTTGGGCTGCTACTGATAATACTCTACCCCCTGACCAATGGGATGGGCACACAGGAAGCCATGCCTTGCTCTCTTCAAAATACTCAGGATAGACTAACGGACAGTCACTATAACTGTGTTCAGCTGCAGGAAGATGTTAATCTGGTACATTCCTCACCATGTGGAAGAAGCTAGTTTGTAGTGCTGGGAATAAGGAAATTAAGAACTAAATTTCACCTTAGTAAACAAGAACCACATTGTAGCTAAAAGGAAATGATAAGGGAGACATAGTGCAGCTAAGCAAACATCCTGTGTCGAGCAGATGCTCTCCCCTGGGTAGGCTAGATAAGCAATGCTTTGTAGTTTTTAATGAGAAAATAGGAACCTAGCTAGCTAGAGCCAGGAGATTACTAAGTTAATGAACAAACATCCTGCCTTCCCGCCTTATGCAAGAATGCTTGGTTTGAAATTCTCACGCGTGTGGTCTTTGTAAGCGAATTGCTAACTGCCATGTCTGCTTCTGTATAATGCTTGCTTGCCCGCCCCTATATAAGGACGTAGTTGTAAGCGCTTGGCGCGGTTCTCGTTTGCAGCTCCTTGTGGGCACTGTGTTGCTGGACACTTTGAGAGTTCGCCCCTGCGCAGGTTAAACTTGGCCAATAAAGTAACATCTTTGATACCCTGAAAGTCTCCGATATTTGTTCTTGTGTTTGCTGGATGCTACAGTAGGAGACTTAAAGCATGCAACCAAGAAATGCAGGGCAAAGGAGAAAGCTTTGCAATGCTCATAATCCTTGTTCCAATAATTCCTAAATCCCTGCGACATTCCTGCTCTTCTTGCTGTATTATTATGTAAGAGAATAAATTTCCCTTTTTTGTTTCACCTTGTTTAAATCAGATGTTTGTGTCTTGCACAGAGAAGTCCCTGATACTAAAAGATACATCTAAAGTAAAAACATCAACAACCACTAGAATGGAATATACAAGTTATGTTCAGAAAAACTCCAACCATTTGTATAACATTGGTTTGCATAACATTGATGTAACCTGGCAGCCAAGGAGAGCGGACTGGGATGAGCATGTGTGAACAATGACTTCACTTTACTAGTAGAGGTGGGGGCCGTTGTGGTAGACCCTTCTGAGTGAGCATGTGTACTATGTGACATCACATTCAATATAACTGAGCAAGTAGAGCAATGAATCTGCATGAAATTTTGTATTAAACTTGAACATTCCTCTGCAGAAACTATTCGAATGATTCAGAAGTCCACAGCTATGGGCAACTGGTAATTGACAGCTTCATCACAACAACACGCCTGCTCATGCATCATCTTGTGCAAAAATTTCTGGCATAACATCAAATCACCCAAGTGACTCAGCCCCTCTATAGCCCAGATTTGGTCCCCTGTGACTTCTGGCTTTTCCCAAAACTAAAATCTCCTTTGAAAGGGAAGACATTTCCAACCATCAATGAGATTCAAGAAAATACAACGGGGCAGCTGATGGTGACTGGAAGAACTGCGTGAGGTCCCAAGGTGCCTACCTTGAAGGGGACTGAAGGGTCATTGTCCTATGTACAATGTATCTTGTATCTTCTTCAATAAATGCCTCTATTTTTCATAGTACATGGCTGGATACTTTCTGGACAGACCTTGCAGATCCCTATCTAGTAGAATGATAATGTCATAATGAGAAGGATCAATCATGCATATAACACTGGAGAAACAATATTTTACTGAGAAAATGCCAAGATTGGCAGCTTTCTTGAATACTGAGAATAATATCCCAATGTGCATACTATAAACAAAGGTACATATTCTGTAACTTCCAAATTTTATTTCTCATAATTTACCTAATTTTGGCACATAATCATGCAATTATGGCAATAAATGACCTACAAAGGTCATCTAAGTCTATGATACCAGCAGTTCTTTTATAGCAGAAAGATAACATGTAAGAATGGAATTAATTTTCTTGCATGGCACGAAGACTGCTCACAGGATTAGGAGCATCTCCCACTCTAAATCACTAATCTGAATGCAGACTCAGGCCAACAATAATTGAAAATGTGTGAAAAGAATTCTGACACTGCAATAACACGGACAGTGTTTAAAAGATAAAAGAACAATCAAATTCAGGAATTATGGTTCAGTTCAAAAACTAATGTTATAAAAGACCATAATAGTAAGCCTATTTTACAAGAAAATTTACCCTTAGTTGGATATGTATGTAAATTCTTCTTGGATATGGCATGAGGTCCAGAACACACTTTCTTAAACTAAATTCTACACACATGTAGAGCAAAAAAGGTTAGAATACTCACAAATGATTAATCTTGAAATCATATGCAAAAAAAAAAGACTACTTCCTTACTAGTAAAGCATCAATGCTTAATGAAATTTTATTGGATAATATGGCATTTCTTCAGCTTGATTCTGCTGTCTCTATTTTTTTATCTGGAATGACTCAGCAAAAGGTGGCCTGGTCATACGTTAGTTTTGTTTGGATTACACAGTATGTACTGCAGGATGATTTAACACATTCTATAGTCAATCATAACATTCATCATCGGAAGGTGTACACAGGCCCTTCTTACTATTTATGGCACGTCACCGTCTTTCACAATTAATGTTACCATCAAAGAAGTGGCAGTCTTAAAGTAAGAAAATTACAAGAAGTAAGAATAAGTAAGAAATGAAGATTTACTAGGGATGGAGCATGACAGTATGATAAAATAATTCCATAATTCAAACCAATAGGAAAACTGATAAGAGCATAATAGAGGCTATGATGGTAGATAGCAATATAAAAATATTCTTTTCATAATAAAAAGACTTGGAGAAACAGAGCATTATATTCTAATGTGTCAATCACTCTTTAATAGTTATTTCTAAATCACCAGTGATTAAGATTGAAATTTCTCTGTAGCTACTTCATGCATGTTTGGGAAAAAAAATCCAAGTAAAAACAAGTTTATAGAAGGGGAGATACAAATTAAGTGTGGAATCAGAGAACTGGAGACCATTTAGACAAAAATCATTAATTCAACTAAGACTGAGTGCTTCCTACATGTCAGACCACAGAGGATGCAACAAGGAACAAATCAGGCAAATATTCCTAACCTCCTAACCTCATGATGCTTACATTCTTTTTAAAAAGAGATTTCATTTATTTATTTATTTTAATAAATAAATTTATTAAAGGGAGAGGGAGAGAGGGAGAGAAACATCAATGTGTGGTTGCCTCCTGTGTACCCCTCACTGAGGACCTGGCCCGCAACCCTGGCATGTGCCCTGACTGGGAATGGAACAGGCGACCCTTTGGTTCTCAGGCCAGTACTCAATCCACTGAGCCACACCAGCCAGGGCAAATGATGTTTATATTCTAATGGCCATTAAGAATAGCCATCTTAAATAAATTCTTTAAAAAAAAAAAAGAAGGGGTGGGGGACTACAGTCCAAAGCCATGCAGTGCCTTCCACTTCCCAGGGACACAGCTACTCAGTAGCAGCACAGGCTGCGCCTCACATCTTCTGGGCCTATTCCAGAGTGTTTGCGATAAATGGCTACATCAGTGAGAGGGGGGGAAAACCTTTAATGAAAAACCTAGATAATAAGGAAAACCTATCTTAGTGTCTACTTACTGGATTATAGAACTGTCAACCAAAACGGAAGGAATTTAATTGAAACTGAGACTGCACCAAATTTTAGAAAATACTTATGCTAAAGGCATTCTGCATTAGACTCTAAAGATGCACTTAATGAGCTAATAGATACTCTATCTTCTCTAATATCTGAAATTACGGGAATACTTTTACTCAGAGGCCTATTTAATATGAACTAGTGGTTACAGTTCATATCCTAGCACACACACACAAAAATTCTCAACATAATACCATCATCACAATTTGTGTTTTTTGCCTGACTCCAAAGGAAGGCTCACAACTACATTAGCTAATAGACTTAACTACATTATCATCCCCAGTAGGTTAAAGAAAAATAGCTAAGGTGCTAGGAGTTTGCACACAAAAGACAGTATTAAGGTAACATGCTTCCAACAAGTGTGCTTGTCACAAGGGATCTAGCACCAGTTCTCTCAAATGGCTAAACATCTATTTCACATGTTTCTAGGCTATGAAGCAATTTAAAATAACAAGTAATTTTATGTTGAATTAAAAATTAATGTCTGACTTAAAAGTTGAAAACAGAAATGGTAAAAGAGAAAGTTGATAGATTTGAAAATTTATCAAAGAAATTACCACACGATTATGAAAAAATTCTTCCAACTCTACAGACGCCTGCTTTCATTTTTGAATCATCATCATCATGACTTCTTCACTGTATCTAAAACAATTAAGAAGATAAAAACTAAGAGAAGGACTGGATACTTACACCACTGGGAAGGAACTGAGCATACTTTACATGAGGTGAATCAATATCCTTTCTAGAGATGACCGGTGTTATTTACCATTCTGTGGAATAAAGACAGAAAATTCAGAAATTTTGTATTTGTTAATCAAGTATTGCATAAAAAATTTAATTATACAACTCAAGGATATTGACATTTTAGCATCAGCTAATTATATCTTTAAAATTATGCTGTAATTTTAAAATGAAATATCGGTTTGAAGGAAAATTTTAAAATCAGAAAAATACTAGTGATAGTTTTAGAAATTATTCACTTGGAAAAAGTAATGAAAACCAACCCTCTGAATGTTAATCTGTTATCAGACACCACCCACAGAAAAAGATTTAAACATGCAATGGAATATATGTGCATATATGACATTCAAGATAACTCTTTGATAATAACATCAGTGCATTTATGTAGAATTCTACAAACAAAAAATACACCCCAGTATGATTGTAGCTAAAGGCCTTAACTGTGTGGTAAATTTTAGGGTCTCATTCCAAGTATGTTTCTTATTTCACTGCTAGCCAAATCCTGAGTGACTTAATTTCTCTAGGCAAATCTTGAGTAACTTACTTTCTCTAAGCATTAATTTCCTCATCAATCAAAACAGGAATAGTAGATAACTACTACAACAAACTACAAGAAGTTAAATCATTTTTTAAAATGGTAATGATAAAGCACTTCACAAACTATCAAGTATCAGAGGCTGTTACCACCCATTTTAAAGACGAAGAATATCAGTATTGTATTTAGGTTACTAAGCAAGTGTAAGTTAATAACGGAAAAACTGAGGTTAATACTTTACTTTCTGATTGTATTCTCTTGCTTTATTTGCCACTCACTCTGACCCCTTTCAATTTAGAAATAGAGGTTAACAAAAAATGAAATCTACGATTCATGGTTTAGGAGCTAAAGATCATGTATCATCGACTGAACTTATTAGCAGTTTCAAACCACAATCTACACAGGCAAACATTTCCATTAATTTAAAGTTAAGATTATAAATTAGATGAAAGTTTAAAATGTTGATGTCAAAAACCTTCCCATTAAAGTACACATTCAGCACTGAATTATACTAAACAAGATCAAAATGTCTAACAGTGGCTAATGATATATGCAAAATATAGAGTACAGTTAGAAACCTTTCACATTTGCATATCTTAAAAATTGTAGCTTTAATGAACTTCCTATTGTACTTAATTTTCTTGCTGACTTGAGAAATATCTACCCTAAAAAAGTAGATACAGTTTCTTGTTTTGGCCAGTTTGGCTCACTTGGTTGGAGCATTGTCCCATGGACTGAAAGGTCAAGGGTTTGATCCCCAGCAGGGGCATGTAGGAGCGGGTGGCCAATCGATGGTTCTCACTCTCTCTCTCACCACTCCCTTTCCTCTCTTGCTAAAAGCAATAAAAATAAATGTCCTCGGGTGAGGATTGAAAAAAGTAAATATAAAGTACAAAGAAATCTACTGAAAATGTTGCTGATTGCATTTCCAAGACAAAATAGCAACACGAAGCCACAAAGCTGATTACTGGTCAATACACATTTTTCACTCTTGCTCAAATCCAGTTAAAATATACTAAGTGGCTACATACCCTGGCACTGGCACAAGGTCATGAGTAAGATATGATACCAGCAGTGTAGGAGCTTATTAAACTGTGGGAGAGAGTCAAATAACAAGTAGACACACACATCTCTGCTAAAAGGCATGATGTGAATACACTAAAAATACAAAGTTTCTGAGAGTAACAATTTAGAAGAATTTAGGATACAAAGAACTGGGAAAACTTAAAGTGAAATCTCAGCTTTTATCTGAAGATTAGAATAAGACTTTCACCAAACCAAGGTGTGAAGGGAGGTGACAATCATTGGAAGAAAAACTCCAGAGAGAAGGAACAGAGAGATTAGGAGGTATGTTTACAAAATAGAGTAGAACCACACACATATATCTAAGTATATGGAGAGAAAACAGGTAGTCAAAAGGTAATGAAGTTGGGTTGAAGGATGGGTATGTGTAAGGATTACAGGTACAGAAGGATAAATCCATACAGTTCTGCAATAAAATTATAAAAGTTCCTACTATCAGAACTGGACTCAATTATTAAATGATTAATTGAGAGTTGTCAAAATCCTACACAAAGTCAGGTTGAGCAATGAAGAAAAGCCTACTATCAGCATTGCTGACCCTTGAAGAAAAATATAACCCAGAAAATTCCCTGGAAACAAGGACCTGTAGATGCTGTGTTACCCACAGGTGGTAAGAAGGCTCTTTTTACCCTAGCTTTTCTCTTTAATATAAAAAGTGTGACTGTGTAAGGTAAAAGAAAAGGTGAACTTCAAAAGGCATACAATAAAGGTGTCTGCCTCCCACTCCACACTCCTTTTTTCTCTTCTACCCAGACAGCAGACACAATTTCTTCACACATCTTTGTATACATATGAGTGTTAACTTTAGGATAAATTTCCAGCAAAGGAATTGTTATGGCAAAGAGTATACACAGTAAACTATGACAGACAGATTTTATCAAACTGCCTCCCAAAGAGGCACCAAATTATACTCCCACCTTTGGGAAACGCTTAATTGTGAATCCAGTATGTCAGTGGTGATTTACAATTGAATTTACATTGTGCAGTTGGACATGTTTCTGTTTCACTCAATAATGGTAAACACAGAAAGGGCAGAATATTTAAATCAAGAAATAAAGACATAAAAGACAAGCAAGCCATCACTGCAAATACTTATTACCATGACCCTTAAACTCAGATTTTGGTACAAAAAAGAATTCTCAGATGTTTCAAACAACCATTACAGAGCCCCTTTCGCTGTTCTTTCAGCACCTCCCACAGAACCCAGTGTTATCCACTTAAAATATCTATCTAAAAACAAAAGCAAAAAATGCATTAAAATACAGAGGTACATAAGCCTCACGATCCCGTAAGTTTGATGTTGTTAGTACTTTCAATTTACAGGTAAGAAGGTGAACCTTCTTCCAGATTAGATATATATCAGAAACATACATATGAGTCCTGGCTGGCATAGCTCAGTGGATTGAGCGTGGGCTGGGAACCAAAGTGTCACAGGTTCGATTCCCAGCCAAGGTACATGCCTGGGTTGCAGGCCATAACCCCCAGCAACCGCACATTGATGTTTCTCTCTCTCTCTGTCTATCTCCCTCCCTTCCCTCTCTAAAAATAAATAAATAAAATCTTTAAAAAACAATCATTTAAAAAAAAGAAACATACATATGAATATATAAATAAACCTAATACATGGCAGTTAAAAAAAACTCCACCATAACAAATAAAAAGTGAACATCTCCACCCTTACCTCTGAGTCTTTCTGTCCAAAGATAATACTACAAGGCTTCTTGTGAATCCTTACAAGGATAAGAAATAAATATACATAGACCTGGGGCTTTTAGAAACTTTTTATGAAAATTTGCAAACATATACAAGGGCAGAAAGAACAGAGTAAAAATTGTATCCATCATCCAGGCTGAATAATGAACAACTCCCTTCCCTGCTCCCCTGGATATTTTCAAGCAAATTCCAGACATCTTATCATTCTAAACATATAATTATTAGAAAGCTTTAATAGCTGGTTTCCAAATCCAGGGTAGATTAGACATAAAAATTTAGAAAGTGGTTGGGAAATGCATAAAAAGGATTTTATTAAAGGAAAAAAGTGATAGCTACTTAAAAAGGAAAATATAAATGAAAACATCTATTTAATTATAAATGCAGAGTAGGGCAAAAGCAGGTTCACAAGAAACAGAGTTCACTCTTGTGTTAGCTCTTCACTGATCACTGTGTTGTTTTCCCTACGGACAGGGGTGAACTGTACCTTGGCCCCACCCTGTGCCTACCCACAACAACACTGACACGTCTCAAAGAGGGATGCTTAGGGTCTTTGTTTCAAAAGGGCAGAAAATTATGTGAGTGACATACTTGTTTTTAAAACTTGAAATGGTTGAAAGTTCACATTTTAGGAAGTTAATCAGAAGTTGTTTCACTTAAAGTCAAACATAGTTTCCCTTGAACAATGCCAGATAAATGAGGCCTCACCACAGTTAGCTATGACCTGGGAAGCACACGGACAATTGTGGGGAAAAAAAACAACAACCCACAGATATTAGGAATTAAAAACTCAGATTAAAATACTAATCTCTCAAATAATGCCTCTAGATAGCTTAAAACTGTAAGTAACAACCACTAACACTATTAAAGAATACTTCCCTGGGCCAGACACTCACTGGGCAAGTGCTTTAGGTGCACAAACTCATTTAATTTCTCAATCCCCTGAGGTGGGTAATTAAGACAAGACACTACTTGCCCAAGGTCAATCAGCTAATGAACTTCCTTACTAAAACTGTAGCTTAAGTACTTATGTTAGGTTTCATCTTTCTTCAAAATACAAGATTAGGTACACTATTTATTTTCATTCTCTGGAGCGAATGTTTAATGATGACAGATACTGTGCAGCAAATTGAGCAACAGACACATTGTGTTTCACCGTGTGTGCATTCCCATCTATAACTGCACCCGTGTTTCTGGCCCAAACTCTCAGGCAAAAAAATCTTATGTTTTAATTTTTTAATTCAATTATTTATGTATTTATATTTAGAAACAAAACCAATTATCATATCCCAGGGTATTATTTTGCATACAGATATCATTATTGCTTTCTAGAGTTGTACTTTTGACACACAAACATAAAAGAACTAAAAACATATATATGGACACAGATTTAGTACTAGCCATGTATAATGCACATCCTTATTTTTTCTCTCAAAAATTTGGGCAAAAAAGTATGCATTATACATGGCAAAATACGGTACTTCTATCTGATGATTTTTTAGAAAAATATCTAAGGATGTTTACATTAAGTTTTACTCATTATATTTCATGATTAAAGGTTAAGTATGTCACATTCCATGGAGATTTCTATTGCAAACGCCTTATTACATATACTACTTGTCAAATTTCTAAAGACCTATTGATACTTATATAGCTTCCCCCTACATTTCCAGTGACAGGAAAGTTTAATGGAGAGTATTT